AACTGATTTTGTTAATATTGGGATCCATTTCAGTACTTTGTTTTTACCTCTGTTACGCCTCAGGAGAAGATTCTCATTCAAAGTGGGCCTTTACCAGCAAATAAACAACTTTTAAGCTTAACAAATGATAAGCCTGGAATGGGGAGTGGAATGATGTAAGCAAATATTTTGCATCATTATAATTCAGTCTTAAGGAAATGAAACTGGTAGGCACTCTTAAGGCCATCAGTCATTATAGAACTGCACATTGGGATGTTGAACAAGCCAGATAGCGGCCAAGAGCCAAATAAGATAACAAGATAAGCCTGAAACTGAAAAGAAACTGTTGAACATATGAGAAACCACCATAAATGACTGAAGGGCTGCGGTCCTTTAACTGATATTGCCATCAGATAAAAATAATACATTCTACTATTTTCACATGCAGTTGCAGCAACAGGATTGCTACCTGCTAGAGTGTAAATATGTTTTTGTATTGGTCAGTGAGCTCCTTCACATGGCTAGAAAATTAGCAATTGCAACCAGCCAAGCAAACAAAGCACATATGACACAAGAAAACAACTGTACTTCAGATTCCAATTGGAAGCATTAAATATACAAATAGAAAAGTGTCATCAACTTTGGCACTTTTTTCTAAAAATTTCACAGCAAATGTAAGTATTAAAAGGATACTGTCAACTTGATACAACATTATGCAAGATTTAATCTGTTATGCTGGTTCAGTGTGAAAAAGCTCTATTCACTAAGTAGAAAGCCTATTTCACATGCTTCATACTTCTTATTTAGAAGCATGTGTTCATGCAGTATGTAATGCTTTTCCTAGTTTAAGCAAATGACCTTTAAGAATAATACTGGATTGAATCTTAAATCTGACTATTTTATTTTTCTAGCCATTGACCTGTGTTGAATTTCAACTATATGGTCAGTGGCTGTGTTAGCTTGAGAATTCCAGCCCAATGCATTTGTAAAACAGCTACAATTGGTAGGCACACACAGATATTTCCTATTATCTATGAGCTGATTCTTTCAGATTAAAATTGATAAGATATAAGTACAAAGGATATAAAAAGTCTATATAGATAGTCCTCATCTTACAACAATTCATTTAGTAACTGTTCTAAGTTACAATTGCACTGAAAATAGGGTCTTATGACCGTTTTGCACACTTAGGACTTGCAGTATCACTATGGTCATGTGAACAAAATTCAGACACTTGGCAACTGACTCATATTTATAACAGTTCTAGTGTCCTGGGGTTATCTGATCACCTTTTGTGACCTGACAAAGTCAATGGGGAAGCCAGATTAATTTAACAACCATGTTACTAATTTAACAATTAGTACTGCAGTGATTCACTTAACTGTGGCAAGAAAAGTCATAAAATGGAGCAAAACTCACTTAACCGTCTTGCTTAGCAACATAAATTTTGGGCTCAATCGTGTTTGTAAATTGAGGATTACCTGTACACATGCCAAGTTTGTGAGATGTAAAAAAACAACAATAGACCAAGATAAATCACTTCAGATTTTTTCCACCTTTAATATATAAACAAGAATAGAATAGAATTCTTTATTGGACACACAAGGAATTGGACACACAAGGAATTTGTCTCTGGTGCATATGCTCTCAATGTACATAAAGAAAAAATATATTTGTCAAGAATCATAAGTTACAACACTTAGTGATGGTCATAGGATACTAAAAAGCAATCAAATCATACCAGGAAACAATAAAAACAATATAGGTTTTAAAGATACAAGCAACATGGATATAGCCATAAGTGGGAAGAGATAGGTAGAAGCTGTTCAATTCAATTGAAAAACAAATCATTAAGAGGGAAATATAAAAATAAAGTACCTACAATAACATGGTTGCATAAGTGTACCTTAAACTAATATTTTATTGAAGCATCTTTTGAGTTTTATGACAGCATTCAGACTTTTGGGGTAGGAGCATATTAGCATGGCATATCTTGCCTTGGGAATTTTGCCTACTCCTTGCAAAAGTGCTCCAATCAGTCAGATAGCAAGGACATCTGTGCACAACCCTCTTCAGGTCACCCTAGAGATTTTCAATTGGATTCAGGTCCAGGCACTTCCTGGGCCATTCCAGAACTTGGATCATCTTCTGGGGAAGACATTCTTTTGTTGATTTGGAGATATGCTTTGGGTCATTATCGTGCTGAAAGGTGAAATTCCTCTTCATCTTCAGCATTTTAGCAGAGGCCTGAAGATTTTTGTGCCAAAACTGATACTTGGAATTGTTCATAATTCTCTCCACCTTGACTAAAGCCCCTATTCCAGCTGAAGAAAAGCAGCCCCAAAGCATAATGCTGCCACCCCCATCCTTCACTGTGGGCACAGTGTACACAGTGGGTACAGTGTACAAAACCACACATGCACAGAGTTGTTTTTACATCAAACATACTTTTTGGAATTATGGCCAAAAAGTTCAATCTTGATCTCATCAGGACCATGGCATATTTTCCCACATGCTTTTGTCAGACTTGATAATAGGTTTTTGTTATTGTAGCTCGGTTTGGATGTTTTTTCTTGCCACCCTATTCCACAGCCCAGACACGAAGAATACGGAAGATGGTTGTCACATCTAGTATACCATCAGTATTTTCCAGAAATTCCTGATGTTCCTTTAATGTTAGGTTAGCAGGAGCTAGGTGAGGATGGGAGCTCACCTGTCGTATAGAGCCCGGATCTTTGAAATAGGTACTATTTCGGTAAGATAACAGCATTCTGTGATGTCATGCTGGGCACATAACCTTGGAAATGTCTTCGGAGAGCTCTAGCTCAATGGCCTTAAAATGAAAATGAGTACTGCCCCCTATAACTGGCAACAACTAGCGGAGTAAAATCCATAGGGACTTCTTTTTAACCTTTATTGTTGCTATAGGCCTCTTGGCAGCCTCCTTGTTGGTTTTTCATCAAGTTTGGAGGGACATCCAGTTCTTGGTAATGTCACTGCTGTGCCATATTTTATTTATTTGCTGATGACTGTCATCACTGTAGTTCCATGGTATATCCAATGCCTGGGGGGAAAAATTGTACCCTTCCCCTGACTGATACCTTCCAGTGAGATCCCTTTGATGCTTTGTAGGCTCTGTGCAGACCATGGCTTCTGCTGTAAGAGGCAACTGAGCAGATATCAAAATAATAATAATAATAATAATGATAATGATAATGATGATGAAATATTGTGTCCTGGCCATCGAAACTACGCGATTATGAATGAAACATGTCATAGTGATACCCATTGTCATCGGAGCACTTGTTATAATGTCCAAGAATTTTATAAAATACATCAATAAATTGCAGCTTCCTGCAATAACACCAGCGGAACTGCAAAAAACTGTGCTACTTGGAACATCGTACATCTTAAGAAGGTACTTGGTTGATAACTAAGATGCTGGCAGCAACCCATATCAACTATCTGCGCCAGTCAATATTTGTGATACATTTTTAAATGTTCAGTTGACTGAATTAATAAAGATTTATAGTAATCTGACTAGAACAGCTGAACTTTATATGGGCTTGATCAGAGTCACTAATTGATGGCAGGTATGTACTGTCAACCTGTAAATGGCTATTTAACATCACTTTGAATGTTATTGGTTAATTCTGAACACAGCCAAGGCCCTACTTCTGAAAGGGTATGCACACTTATACAACCATTTTATTGTAAGTATTTCATTTTTATTTTCTCCCCTAAAAGACTTAAAATTGTTTTTTAGTTGTTCAGCTTATAGGTTGTATTAAAAGTGGAAAAAATTCTGAAGTGATGTATCCGGGGCTGATTTTTTTTAACATCTCAGAAACCTGGCATTTCAACCACGTGAGTGTAGGCTTTTTATATCCACTGTATATATCTCTATAACAGCCTTAGTTCCCCCCCACCCCCCCAAATTTGTGTCTCATCTCAAACACATTAGGAAGTGGTATAAGTACACACATATATATGTAACAAACTACAATGATTTTCAGATCTGAACAAATGCAATCCTATTATATAAACTTTGTAACGTGAGATAAGCACATTCATATAATAATTCAAAGATTTTCTTTTTACTTTGGGGTGAATATTCCTTGTTGGACATAAAGCCAATTGAGTTTTCTAATTCTGGTAGCTATCGATACGTCTAACTTTCTCCAGTTTCACACTTTCAAGAGATATTGGATTACTGTACCCATAGATCTCCCAACATGAGGCCTTGTGGATGTTGAACTGTAAATCCTACCTATGTTAGTTGAAAATTAAAAGGCACTCATAATCTGACATTTCTGGAGGACATTGTTTGGAAAAGGTTGGAGTAAGATCAAAGGAGTGAAAATGACTTATATTCTCAAATCTTTCTCACACTAAAAACCTCAATGCACAGGTAATCCTCGATTTACAACAATTTGTTACAGCAAAGTTACAGCAGCACTGAAAAAGTGACTTATGACCATTTCTCACATTTATGACAGTTGCAGCAACCCCATGGTCCATGATCAAAATTCAGACACTTGACAACTGACGTATTTATGATGGACAGTGTCCCAGAGTTATGTCATCACCTCTTGTGACTGTCTAACAAGCAGAGTCAATGGGAAAGCCAGATTCGCTTAGCAGCCATGTTACTAACTTAACAACTGCACTGATTCACTTAACTGTGGCAAGAAAGGCCATAAAATGGGGCAAAACTCACTTAACAACTGTCTTGCTTATCAACAGAAATTGTGGGCTCAATTGTGGTTGTAAGGTGAGGACTACTGGTATTGAATATGAATGACAAAACTTGCTTCCTTATTTGGTATGATATTATGGGGAGGAAGTTTTTTCTTTTTTGCAAAAATGAGATCTTGTCCTAATTCTCAGAATATAGTTTTATTTGCTCTCTAAAACAAGGGATGATTTTTTTAGTATGTGTGCTTATTTTTAAATGAAGACTGATGATATGCTAATATGAATTAACTGATGGTTAGCATTTTATCCTGCTATTTCTCCAGGAACTCCAGGCAACGTACATGAAGATAGGTCTTCATTTTATCCCCACCACATTCCTATGAGGTAGGTTGGACTGAGAAAGAGTAACACCATGTGAGTTTCTACATCAGAGATGGGATTCAAATCCCGGTGCTACCAGTTCGCTATTGGTAGTGCATGGGTGCGCATGCTTGCTTTGCAAGCGTGCTGCGCTTCTGCGTAGAGCATTTTTGATGATGTTTGGGTGAATGGGCGGAGCCTCCCACCACTGCCGCTACTGGTTCTCCTGAACTGGGGCGAACTGGTAGAAACCCACCCCTGTTCTCCATATAGCTGATGTTATACTTAAACCTGCATCTCTTTTGTTCCTCTATTTTGAGATATTGATCAAGCAGCTGTCAAGATACAAGAAGGGATGTCTAATTTAACCTTTCCATATGCTTTGGATGATAACTGCAATAATTTTCAGACTCGAACACACTTTGCTAAATGAAACAATTCAAAGAGGCCATTTTGACCATGGCATTCAGACTCTTTGGGGGTTGCAGGAATCAAATTAAAGCATCCATAACAAATAGCTGAGCAGCTTCTATTTGACCACATGCAACAATACAGAAATATATAATTACAGCATAGCTTATAGGCATGCAGAATATTAATATTTTTGAAAGACACCTTGTAGCCACTGTCCCATAATTAGTTTATTGTTGAAAATTTATGACTTCTACAAGATGAGTCTTGGAGAATTGCAGAATCTTGTCTGCTTATATAGTGGATTCAATTTTCTTGTCTCCATTTTTGGGCTAAAGGTTCCAAGAATAATGAAATGGATGAAACAAGGAAACATATACCAGTCAAAATGAAGGACCATGCATATGTCTGTGTGTAATCATACAGCCAACCTGTAAGTAAGAGGAACATGAGGATTTGGTTATTAAATCATTCTCGTTTGGTGTAGTTGTCTTTTCATATCATTACTAATGCAACACTTTAAAACCATGTAGATACCTCAACAATACTGGGTTTGCATCATTTAACCTAAGTGGCAATAAATATTATATCTTATATATTAATCCACCTTAATTGGTTTAAATTGCAGGAGCCGATGTCTTATTCCAAGGTAAATATATTTCATCCCTTTAATATTTCTTCATGCCATGTTTATTAAATAATAATCTGTTTCAATTTTTCTTTCACCAGTCTGTTAATTTTTCTGCTTGCTCAATCTCTGTATGTTAGGATCTGCTACTGCATCCCACATTTGAGTACATTGTTCGACAGCAAAGAAGAGATGGTGGCTTTTGCAGCAGTATTGAGCTATGGAGTACTTGAGTGGTGCAGACTAAACATTCTTATACACCCACATATAAGGACATTTTAATTTTGGTGAATTTTATGTAACGTATATAGAATGAATCCTGGTAATACTCTGTAATATGATAAACTTTTAAGTATTAATAATTTTGAAAATGGGTAAAACACATCTTTTGAAAAAATATATAAATTCATAGTAATGATCTATTATCCTACCCATAACATTTATAGAACAAACTGATCTCTTATTTGGTGAGATCTCATTGGTGTTCACACAGTTACTTTAGGAATACAGTAAATCCCCAGGATCCCATAGCAATTAGGTTGTGGACGATTTTCTTGCTCTGGCAAACTATTAAAATTTACCACCAGAGGGCTTGTTCCCACATTGAAATAGTATGGCTCATATTTAAAGCACTCTGGAGTAGATCCTGCCTGAAAATTTGCTTCTATTTATTCACACTTATGTGGTGCTTCTATGTATTACATGTACGAATTGGATTACTAGGGGATCATAAGATCCTTGACAGTTTAGTTCTCTTCATTAAAATAACAGCCATATAGATGCTTCCTGTATGCAGAAAACAATCCATCCCCTCCAATTAATCTCATACACAACAGTGTCTGAACAAATTCTTTTTATCCCTTAAGGCTTAATACCTATCTGCTTTTATAAAAATGTAGATTCAAACATGAATTTGGCTGTAAATGTCACCCTCTGCTTGTTAGATTGGCTATTTTGTACCTTAAACAAGGGGTGTCGATTTCATTGAGGGCCGCATCAGGATTGTGTTTGACCTCGGGGGGGGGCAGGGGGGGCATGTTACTCATGTCAGGGGCGTCTGTGGCAGCCCAAGAGCCCTGCCAGCGAAAATGGGCTCCTGATTCTCCATTTTCGGTTGTAACGGTCTCTTGCAACCCTCTGCCAGCAAAAACGGAGCTTGGGCTGGCCGCATGTGGCCCTCCCAAGCTCTATTTTTGCTGGCAGAGGCATTGCGGGCCGGTCCTTTGCTGTTTCCAGGGTGGCCCCGTGGGCAGATCTAAGCATCCTGTGGGCCTTGAGTTTGACACCCTTGCCTTAAACTATGTTTTTTTTTCTAATTTAAATCTACAGCAGATAACTTGCACCGAATGAACTCAAATGTTAGAGATATGAAAGAATATGCACATTTACCAAGTATACATATGGAATTCTGACCCTATTCTTTTTTTGAAGTTTCAAGTGCCTTAACATAGTGTATACGGATATGATCATATTTCTGATTATTTCACTTACTCTTTTCTGTTTTTTTCAGGGCTATGAAATACCTTCTGAAACATATCCTGATTATACCAAATAATGTTACCTACAGAATTATTTAAAAACAGTACTTGCCATTTTGTTTTCAGTTCTTTTCCTAATAAATCCAGTGTTCATATTTTACTTCCAGTGCATATTATAAGGAATGTTTACCTCAGGTGAAAATCTTTGCAGTTAAGCGTCTACTGTCTTAAGAATATAGGTTTTATCGGGCTCAAAGTATATAACCATGTAGTTTAATGGCTCATTCATTTTTTAAAAGTTCTTCTGCTTTAGGTTTCACTATCTTGAATCACTGAATCCACATCCAATGGATACTATTAATCCCAGTTATGTAGATAAGATGCATGGATACAATTGCAATATAAAACACATACAAACTTTACAATCATTGTCTTCTGGAAATGAATCCTGTCTCACTAGTACTTCTCAGAATCCACTCTGACAACAGGACCATACCCAGAAAGCAAGACGGCTGTGGGTTTACCATTTTTGTTGCTAGCTGCTAAGGAAGGGCTAATAAACTAGATTTAAATGTTAACACATTTAAATTTAATTAATTATTTACTAGAAGTTCTTCAAGAATTATGTTGTCATGTAGTTATTAATGTGTTAATTTTAAAACCTCTTACATTTTTTCTATTTGGCACAGCTCTTCAGAGGCAGTCCCTGCCCCATTCCCTAGAATATGCTTCAGGTGTGGGTCCTGCATTAACATCTTTCACAGTGAAGACTGATGTAAAGATTCCAGGTAGAACCTGTACAATTTCCCTATCCTCTTTCTGCATTTCTATTACAAAGGTATTAAGTTTCTCTGGTTAATTTCCCATTCCTGGTTCAGTTCAATAAACATTTTCTTCCTTTTTCCTCATCGGCTGACACTGGTTTTATCAAAACTTGAATCCTTTCCTTATTTTCCTCATGGGTGCTATATAAAATTTTAACATTGTTGTTTCCCTTAGATTGTTAAATTGTGTCATTGGCTTTTGAGCTTCTATTACAATAGCTTTAAATAAACCTTTTAATTAATTCCCTTACCACATAGGTCGTGTCATCTCAAATGAAATGTAAGATCCTAATTCAGCTCTGGAAATATAAACAAGGATTGTATTTCATCTACATTTGGTCTAAACTGGATAAATGTAACTATTTAGCCTGGGCTAGGATGAAAGTAGACAGTGAAACTGTTAAGTGTAGCCGAAGAAAACATTAGTTTAGCAAATCGGGTCTTTTTTTCTATTAATACAAAATACTTGTATGAATACGAAAAACACACATTTCTCCCCCCCACCTATCTGCCTCTTACACACACACACACACACACACACACACACACACACACAGAGAGAGAGAGAGAGAGAGAGAGAGAGAGAGAGAGAGAGAGAGAGAGAGAGAGAGATGGATGTAAACAACTTGGTCTAGCTGTAGCATTCGTGCTGTAGCATGTTTATTGTTACTATTTATTCATGTTCTACTTATCAACATCTTTCCCAAAGGATATCTATTCTGAACAATAGCTACCTTCATTGCTGCCTTTATAAAAAGAAATGCATTGTCTGTAGTACAACATGAGTGTTTTCTTTTATAATTAAGAACTGACAAATATTTTATATTCAAATTATTATTTCTAGGGCTGTGCAAAGGGTTCATAAGGTGTGCTTTACAATGTTTGGAGGCACCCCTCTTTCTGTTGTAAAAGCAGCTGTAGAACCTCCTTTGAAAATCACAGAATTTCACAGCCTTTTACAACTGAATAATCTTTATGGCTTAAATACCATAAAGACTGAAAAGTATTATCCTTAACCTACAAACAAAGAAGTTAAAATCTATCTATGTAGTTTACCTCGACTTTCAACTCTTTTTTCATAATTTCAGTGATACATCTGTTTGGCTGACAGCTATTTAAAATACAGATTTCGGCTGTGTGTACGCCCATAAGGTTTTTTTTTGAGGAACTAAGCTACTCATTTGGACCTACAAGGAGGTAATCTTATAATAGTAGAAAGGAATAATGCTCTGATATCTATTAACAAAAGTTTAAAAGAAAATTATAATGTAAGAAAAGATAACTTTACTACAAGAAGAGATTGAGGAAGAAATAAGGAAGATAATGATTTCTTGTCTGTAGTAATTGTGGGTGATACATTCTGCTATTATTCTTTACACAGACCGATCAGCATATCTGGCATTTTATGAACAGAAAGAAATCTCTGCTCTTTACTAGAAATAGATTTAAGGGTGATGAAATGAGGGAAAGAGTAGAAGAATATTTAAATATGAAATGTAACACTAAGTACAACATTGCCAAATTCTACACAGATACTTTGTTTACACTTTTGATAGGATTTTTCCTAAATGTAAAATGCATATATAAGTCACATTATAGTTTGTATTTTGAAAGAAAAATGCAGTGCACTGTACGATTAGAATTATTTTTTCAAGGAAAGAAAATGATAATTATGTTACCTGCTATAGGAGGTCCCACAATAACTCCAAACCCAGCAATGAATGAAGCGACTCCCAAGGCACTATGAAATCTGGCTGCACCTACAAGATCTACCTGTTAAAGGAACCAGTATTTATTATTCAAATGACAAGTAAACAGATTTATTATAGTGCATGGAGAGAGAAAGAAAGAGAGAGAGAAGAGAGAGAGAGACACACACGGAGAGATATTTGTTGTATTCTAAGCTTGATAAAGCCATGTTTTTATATTACTATAAATACCTTTGTTGTAATTTAATAAAATTATAATATAGCTATAACAGAGCAAAACCAAATCATATGAGTTAAAGAACCTTAAATTTTCTTACATTGCCAACATTAAAAGACAAAAAAAGTCTATCCCTTGTTAAGCATTCATACACATGCACATTTTAATACTGTATAAAAGTGAACTGTTGGTTTCAGTTTATGAACAGCATCTCTTAAAGAAGCTAAAATTTCAGATGCCTTGGAGGTTGCCAAAGCAACCTGGTGATACTGATAATACAGGTTTCAGTTTTACATAGTATAAAGTATATGTTGAATGCAAATTGAACTCAAAAGACAATATCTCAAAAGACGATATCTCAAAAAAATTTAAATAGCCACTAAAAATCAACAAAAATTTTAAATATTAATTCCTGTTAGCCCAACTATTCCAAAACAACTTCTCTGATAAATTTCAGATTTGAACTATACCACAATGTCAATGTGTTATGTGATTTGGGATCACATTCTAGCTGCTTGTCTATTAATAGTCAAATATGCCTAGCAGCTTTCAAAGCAGGAAATGAAGTCCCTGACACCTGACTACATTTCAGAGGTATTACATCTTTGCCTATTGTTTTATAAGTATAATAAGTCTCATTTCACAAAAGTATAGATGGAAGATAAAAGGTCAATGACATAAATGTTTTAAAATGTATTTATCAAATTTATATAGTCATTGACTCTAGGCAGTGTTGAAAATCAAGTAGGTTAAGTTGTCCAAATATATTTTAGGGGTTTAGCTTTCCATAAATATTTCTTATTAATTACTCTCTATGAACTATTTATTGAAAATGAGCATTGTTTTTTGTTTCAGTGCACTAGTATGAAATACTGTGGGTGGGTTGAAGAGGATTACAATCCAGGAAACTCGGGTTAGGAGAATGCAAATATGGTAAATGAATAATTAATTTGAAGAAATAGCAATAGCATATCTTCAGTCTGGAGCTGTGTTTTCTTTTAAAACCTAATAGTTAAAAGTTAAATATGTAACATTAAAAACAGCATTTTTTGAGTCAGTGTTAACTCCTGGCAACTGTCTGAACTAGTGCCTGCAGTTTTCTTGGCAAGATTTCAGAAGTGGCTTATCATTACCATCTTCCTCAGCAGACTGTTCCCAGCAGGACTAGAACTCACAGTCTCCTGGTTTCTAGCCTAGTACCTTAACCCTTCCACCAAACTGGCTCTTAAAATAGCAGTAACCTAATAAAAATATTGGCTCTAAGATAGTGCAGATCAGTGTCTACAGAGATTCCCAATCATCCAGGTCACACTTGTCCCAAAGATGCTTTTCTAAAAGACAGCTATCTTGAGGGTTTTTTTCCTTGAAAATGTTTTGCTTCTCATCCAAGAAACTTCTTCAGTTCTGTAAGTTCTGAAGCTTCTTACATGGGAAGTGAAATGTTTTCAAGGGTAAAAAACCCCAAGAAAGTGCAGATCAGTGCTTAACTAATAATAAATTAGGATCAGTAAAATATGTTTCAGTGTTTCTGTGCAGTTCTTCTCTGCCTTCTAAGTCCATGTTTCTGACTGGACCTGAAACGTGCAATTCTCCAGTTCTCTAGCACTGACTGAATTGAAGCAAATTTCATCATTTGGAAATGTAAAGTGCTACTGTTCTAATATTTTCATTGTTCAATTACTTTTTTCCACTTACCAGCACAGGAAACAACAGTGCAAGATATCCACCACTGAAAATGGCAAAAGTTACAGAGTAACTCATAAGTAATGGGAAGGTTGTAGCTAGAGGACACAGCAGATTAGTGAGCCCGCAAAGAATGAGGTATGTTTTATGGTAATGATATGTCTTAGTCCAGTTTTGATTAGCAATCCAGCCAGAGATCAATAAACTGACTGTCTCTACTATCCCTAAAAGAAAACAGAACAAAAACACATAATGATTTCTAAAACAGAATTCTTTGGGTGCTAAATAAGGATCAAAAAGACAGAACTGGCTCTTTGTAAATTTCTAAAACCTAAGCCACCAATATAGTACCAGTGGACATAAATATATCTAGCAATAATATCTAGGTCCTAGTATCAGATTTTGTGCTCCCCCTAATTTTATTTTGTATTATTTTAATTAAAACATTAATAAACAGAAAAAGAATCATGCTGCAAAACACTGTGAAGAGCCATATGGTAAATATTTATAAAGTGGTTTATAAACTGTCATTCCAAGTCTGAGGGTAACCAGATTATTCTAATTCACATGAAGCAAAAATAATCTGCAAAATATCCTTTTCTATACTACTTATAGACTTGCTGGTAGATGCTCATGCTGCTTGGCTGTGGCCTCGTTTGTCAGATTTCTTATCTGAGAGGTAAGTCTTCCATCCATTTATATTTTCAGTTCTATCATTATCAAGATTCAACACCAAATTCCTGATGACTCTCATTCTCCCACATGTCTCAAAAATTGCCCAGTACGCTGTATGAAAAATTCCTGGATGCTGTAGTGGAGCATCTTTTCACCATTAGAAGACTCTTTTTTTCCCCTTTCTTTTTTTCTTCAGCTCCACATTCGATTGATTGAAGCCCAGTACATGTAATTATATGAATGTTGAATACTACATTTTTGCTTTATTTTTGTTAGGCATATGGAGCTGAAGTTCTGTTTCTATCTGATATATTCATATCTGAGAATTCTAAACATTTCTTCTATGATTAAACTGTACACTTATTCACAAGCTCTGGTCAGTAATTTTATGGCAAAATGCTTTGTTAAATGAAATTGGAGTTTAGAATCTGGAGTAATTGTCCATCCCCCAAATTGCCCATTGGTAAGTTGTCTTGCTACATAAGCTACTTGGTTTTTCCTCGAGAGTACCCAACATCAGGTTTAAGGTGGATTTGGCTCTGATACCTCAGTTTCTTAACCCCTATTCCGTTTTCAAGCAAAATTTAAAGGATTGGTTTAAATTGAAAATGAATAATAAAGTTATTTTAACTATTGGTTTATCTCTTAAGAAAAATATGTAATAAAGATGGAAGCAGTTTTGTACTGAGGTGATTTTTTTAAAGCTAATAAAATATAAGAACATATTTTGTTGTTGTCAAGATGGATTTCCAAAACTATACACAATTTTAGAAGTATGCCTTTGAATAAAAGGTCTTAATAGTTACAGCATAACCACATTTCATAAAGCTATATATTAAATATTTTTTCTAGTGTTATGTTGTAATTTCTTCTTCGCTTCAGTATTCATCTAATAATGGAGTTAAGGTTTTGAATTTGAATCAACACACATGCCTTGATTTCTTTTGAGTCGACTTTTAAACCATAAACAATTATACATTTTGATGTGCTACATATGTAATTAGTGATTACATAATTAATATCATGATTTGCACTGATAGGTAATGGTGACATTTTACAAGAAACATTTTAAAAGTTCGAGATTTTTCTTACCAGCTACTAATATGATGTAAGCAGTATCCATTGGGTCAATACCCAATGTTTTGGCTCTGGCTGCAAGGTGGAAAGTTGGGATAAAATAGGCAAGCTGACTGAAGAGAAAGGACCACGTGAAAATAAAGAAAAAGGGATTTTTTAGGTGACAAACAACAAGATGGCATTGCTTCTGGATAAAAGGCTGCATCCTGGATTTTCCTTCCTCATTTGATTGGATGCAACATTGATCACCAGTTTGGTTATCATTCTTGTAGGAGTCCACACAACTGTTTTTCTGTGGCGTTTCAGAAAACTTGTAGTTAATTGGGGCTAAATTATCAGACTGTTGTAGGTTGTCTGATTTAACACATTCTTGATTAGGACGATCCAGAATGTTCAATTCTCTGGTGCAGATTTTATCTAGACTGCCTTTGAAAGTCTCTGGAAACATACTTAGTAGAACTATTTGGCCTTCACTTTTAGGACCTATGTCTCTAGTTTTTCTCTTATAAACTGGCCGTAGTAGCAGGCTCGAAGGTACAAGGTTCAATATGATGCCGCCATATATCAATAAGAAACCTGAATGAATGGGAAAAGATATTTTTAAAAATCATTTTTAAAAAATCATTAGTCACAGAACTAATTAACATCTGGATAAATTTTCCTGTTCAGGGCTATTTATTTTGGTAGTTTTCAAGCAGTATCCAACAATTTCCTTATTCCCTATGCTGTATGGAATCTACTTTCAGCACTGCTTGAAATTATGTCAAAGCTTTTATTCTTGTTGAAAGAAAAAGATAAAATTGACCATCATTAGTAGACATGGTAAATATCACTTTAAGTGAATAACAATATTAATAATAATGCATTTGACAATCATCAGAGATGGCCCATCTTTCCGAGATGTCCCCCCGCCCCCCGCCCTTCCCAATAATACTGATGAACACCCTAGGCCAGTATTAATTTTTATATTTTATAAGTGAAATTTAAAAGAAAAAAAAATGTTTTCTAGCTATTTAAAATGAACCTCTGTTTTAATCTTTAAAATGTTATTTTGGCAGTATTTGTTTCCCGTGTGTCTCTGAGGTGACAAATGAATAGCAATAACTTGGTTTCTGTAACTCTTTCTAAAATTGTCCTGTCAGAAACTCAGAGCAATTAAAATAGAAAATCTAAAGCACAATGTATCTTTCCTTTTGTATCAAAAGGATACAAAGCAGATTTCTCATTTCATTTGTCTCACTGAGAGGAAACTCAGAGGAAACTGAATGACTGAAAGAGAATGAGAGCTCCGTTATTATTTGACTGTCATTTTAAGTTTATCAACTTACTTTCACATATTAACAGTGTAAAGATATAAGAAATGAAGATGACTAACCTTGCCAACCATACATTTCTATCAGGAATTGAACAAGTGGTGTTAGCACAACACTCAGCCCCATTCCCGAGCGGCCAATTGCATTGGCTAGAGCCAAGTATCTCCTGAAGTACTTAACTACCATGACAGCAGCTATCTGATATAACAGACAAAAACCTAGCCCTAAAGAAAGAAAACATCATGAGCAGAGGCAGAATCTTCTATAGGAATGTATTTTTATTTCATTTAATTAAACAGCCTTTCATGAATACAAGTAGTGAATCGCACAAATACACAATGATTTCAGGTGGACAGTTTTTAACTCTGAAGCAATTGTATTTTAGTCTTTAGTCCCCATAACAAGATAAATAATTACTTCCAACGATGTTGTTGGAAACAAAAGAAAAAAAATGTTTGGATTGTTGACTGCTTATGTTGCATTCTAGAATTTCCATACTAATAGCCACAGACAGATCTCTAGTCTGAGGTTTGGTAAGTTTATTTTGAATTCAGTAATCCTTAATTTGAAATGATGTCATGTAAAAAAAGAGTAACTCAGTTGCTGACATAGTACACATTTAGGGACCATAATTCTGTGATATGATGTTACTATGTCAATGGCTTAATCTTTTCTAAAACAAAATACATACAACAAACATGGAAACCTTAAAACCCTGGCTAATCATTGCCTTATCAGAATCAGCATCATGCCATCATTCTATATAATATTGCAATGTTGTTAAATATCTGACTAGCTTCTTAATGTGAAGTGATATAAAGGTAAGAATATATTTCTAAGAGTAGCAATATAACAAAAGCTTTTGTAGTATTTTATCTTTGTATCTGTCTCCAATACAAGCATTCAATTTAATCAAGAATTTTTAAAGTTTTAAGGACAATGTAAAGTATGATTGAGTACTCTTTGGCCTTGCCTCAGGTAAGGAATTATTCATGTTCCTCAAAAGATGATGCAGGAAGGAACAAATTAAATACCATGGTTTTAAGTATTCCTTAATTACTTAAGGACAGAACATCAACTTAAAATAGTCAGTTGTTGTAGTATTCCATTTAACAGCCTCGATTTAGCAGCATGGATTTAATGTACAAATTTTTTTGGATCTTGTTATTGCCCAAAATTCAGGCAGAAACAAGATTAAGAATGATGTGAATAGTTAACACAACTGGCTAAAAGCAGCATCTGACATTGATTCCTTTCTCTGCCTTTCCTGAAGTACAAAGCCAAGTGTATTTTTGGGCTGGAAATATCTCTTTCACCATTTAATGGATTCCTCTTCTCTCTGAACAGTCCACTAAATTGAGGGGTTTCCTTTTGTTTTGCAGCACTGCCAGTCCAAACAGATTACAGGTCTTTTTGATAGGGAATAGCATTATGAAAATGCCCAGAAAATCCAACTTTCGACAATGAACAGTTGATACACATTATCTTCCTGTATAATTTCAATTTCTGGAAAGTTTCTGGAGGGGCTTCTTAAATATACTTGACATGGTATGCTTACCTGTTAGGAGTCCCATAGAGACCCAAAGAAAAGGAATACTTGTGGCCAGTGTGCTAATAAGAAAACCAGCACCAACCAGGAGAGCCCCTAACAAGGAAGTTTTCCGTTCTCCTAGCATTTCACACACTGTAGTTACCAGAGGTGCTGGAACAGAGCAGATGGAAATTGGCATTAATGATAGCTCGAGAAATAGATACCACTTCTGGGACGGAAAACACCGAGGGGAAAATATTTAAGCTTTAAGGAATTACCAAACTATCTATTTTTGTTTATTAAACTTACAATGGTTTTCATAAAGACTTTGATTTATGAAAACTACACATGAGAACTCTAATGTGTGAGTTATGGTCAGTAAACCAGATTGGCAAATGACTAAAAGATGGGTAAATTGTTTTAACTCACAGATATAGGTAGGAGGCTTGGGGTTAGGCTTTTCAAGCACAGTTGGCATTCTGAGTAAGAGTACCACCTTCCCCCCAGCTCTAGGGGCAAGACTTCGCAAATTGGACACCAATCATGAATGGGCCTTACACTGACATAATCTCAACACAGTCCAGTCAAGTACATTTAAACCAATATTATACTAACCTGCTAGGAATCGAAGTGAGGACATAATGGAGCCAATCCAACTGACATGTTCAGAAGAGCCACCAATGTCTTCTTGAAAAGCCACAAAGAAAATGGCAAAGTTTTTCAGTGTTCCAATTACAAATACATTTACCTATAAAAATCATGAGTATCATATTAATTGAAATGCAAAATGGAGTATTAATTGGCACTCCATTGTGAAACTCTGCAGTGTTACATTTAAATGATCAGAGGATGAAACTAGGCATCACGTTGTCAGACTCAACAAAGTCCATTTAGTAACTGATCTGAGAAAAAAAAATTAAGGGAAGAGGAATGGGTGACCTTTGCTGAAAGCTTGTAGTTTTATCATGAATATTTTGAAACCTGTCATGTTTGCTCAAATAATGGTGATATGAAGTATTTTTAAAACATAAATTTCATGTTTTGGACTACTTTGGCTGAGCTATGATCTGTCAGCCTTAATAACATCACAGACTTTTGTGATGGTGAACAGAAGAAGGGAGGAAACTGCAAAATTTTCATACAAAATTGTGATAAAGATCAGGCTGAGGAATCCTGGTTTGGCCAAGATCACCAGAAGAGATGAATTCGGATATAATGAGAAGTCAAATCTATGTTTTCAAAAATGGAATGCCCTCAGAACTTAAGCTAAAAAGGAAAAATATATCTGGAAGAAGCATTGGATACACATTATAAACAATAATAACAAGTCCTTGTTTAACAACTGTCTGCAGTTGTGATGGTGATGAAAAAGTAACTTTTCAACCAATCCTCACATTTACAACCTTCCCAAATCTGTAAAAACAAAGGAAATGTGAAATAGATCATAAGCACAGTAGCAGTTTCACCTAGCGACCAAGTAGACTGTCCCAACTGTCACTAAATGAGGGCTTCCTGTATGAGCAATTCCTACTTTATGCCAGGGCTTTGTTGGAGAAACGGTTATATAGACTAGTTTTTGCACACATGAAATCATTGCACAACTGTATGAAAATGGTACATAATATTGGTCTCCATTGGAATTGCATAAATAAAGTTATGTAAGCCATGGATTCCCTGAAGTTTTGTTTTAAACTCATTAAAAATCATTTTCATTTCTGAAATGCTTCTTGCTTTCTAGCCTTTATGTTTCTACACACATGTTTCTACACACCTGAGGCATAAATCTATTACTAGGAGGACCTTCT